TCTGTAAGACGCGTTGCAGATGAACACAAAAAATCCCTGATCATACACTTAATCTTATGGCTGTTAGACGGGAAATGAAGCTGCAGTCTTCAGCAGATTTGACAGCATGCAGGCAACTGAACAGACAAATCTTCAAACGCATGCGGCGGGACTTATGCAATTTCAATACATCCCGTATTGAAGAATTTTACACTACAAAATTGTACAACTATAGGCTATGCTCAGGGTTTCTCTGCGTAAAAAGACTTAAAAACGAGAATATCCGCAGTATAACCAGAGTAACCGATATAGCTCATTAGTAAGCTGAGGTGACAATGGGTCGGACATTTAGTTTATAGAACCGAAAAGCGATTTGGAAAACAGGTTCTCGAGTGGTAGCCTCGTACCGGCAGGAGAAGTGTAGGGAGTCCTCCCTCTAGATGGAGTGAAGACCTGGTAAGACAAGTAGAAAGTCGATGAATGTAGGTGGCACAGGACCATGCTTTGTGGCATTCCTTGGAGGGGGCCTATGTTAAGCAGTGAACTCGTTAAGGGCTGTAATGATAAATTGTCACTCACCAAATGTTAACAGTGGTAGTGCACCAAAGTCGACGGTGAGGTCCAAGCGCACAATTCGCAACAAATAACTCTCATCGACTTCGCTTTATTCTCATGTTGGATTTAATTTGTAAGCTGTCATGTGTATTTGTTATTTGTCTTATTATCATTGATAACAACTGGGTATATTTGTTATGATACTGTAATAATGGTAGCATAATAACTTTTATTTACCTACATATTAGTAATATTTTTTTATTAACTGGCTTTCTCTGGGTTCTAGCCCTTCTGAGCCTAAGTAATATTATGCTAAACTAAGACCATAGATAACATATTATAACTATAAGATATAATATTCACATATTATATGACATAATATTTACAGATGTCAGATGATATAGACAGATGATGTTGTTGGCTTCGGTTATATAGCCTTCTGCCATACTAACTACATTACTATTGACAGAATTAGTACACAACTTATATTTGATTCAACTTTATTTTAGTTATATGCAATAATCTGCCTAATTACTTATTACTTTGTTTTTTTATTATATTTTCTTTACTTGTTTACTTTTAAATGCTTTGTTCGTTTATTGATTTTCTTTTTCTATTTTCTTCTTTCTTGATTTCTTCTTTTGTTTTCTCAAAGAATATTTTTTCCCCTTATCAGTCTGGTTTCCGCCCGGGTCTTTCTACAGCTACTGCTCTTCTCAAGGTTACGGAAGATATTCGTGAGGGGATGGAAAAATCAAAACTGACCGTTCTCATCTTAATTGATTTTTCTAATGCATTTAATTCTGTCGATCATGGTATCTTGTTAGCTCTTCTTTCTCATTTGAATATCTCGTCTTCAGCTCAGGAATGGTTCTCAACATATCTTCGAGGGCGCCAACAGGCTGTGCTTACTGGCCATATACTATCTGACTGGCGTGATGTGTCAATTGGCGTCCCTCAAGGCGGTGTTATCTCTCCTCTTCTGTTTTCCATTTTTATAAATGCCATCACACTAAATCTCAAGAGCTATTACCATTTATATGCTGATGATATGCAGTTATATGCGCAAGTGGAACCTTCAAATATCCTAAGTTCTATCTCATTGTTAAATGATGATTTGAAATATATCTCAGAATGGTTTACTGTTAACTGTCAAATTAAATCGACATTTATTAAATTACGACGAAGTAAATAATGCTATAGCTAAGTTAGTCAATTGGTTTAATGTTAATAATTTGCATTTGAATGGAACTAAAACTAAATGTATGAAATTCGTAACTCCTAATGTTAAACATGTCAATACTAATGTAATTTTAAATGGGGGGGGGGGGGGAACTGAGTCTTGTTGATACCACCAATTTTCTTGGAATCACACTGGACGCAAAGCTTCAATGGCTCCCCCATATATCAAAACTAGCTAGCAGACTTAGTTCTGCAGCATATGCTGTGAAAAAGATTAGAACTCTTACCAGTGTTAAAACAGCTAGAATAGTTTACTTTAGTTATTTCCATAGCATTATGTCGTATGGTATTTTGCTATGGGGAGACGCGACTTACACAGAAATTATATTTATTTTACAGAAGAGGGCCATTAGAGCAATATATAATTTAAAACCAAAGAGTCACTGAGACAAAAATTTAAGGAAATCAATATTTTAACTCTGGCCTCTCAATACATTTATGAAAATGTAATGTACAAAAATAAAAGTAGTTTTGCGAAAATAAGTGATATTCATTCTGTAAATACTAGGAACAGACACAAGCTGTAGTACAAGTTACTCGACTCCACCGAGTCAGTAATTCATTCTTGGGGCGATGTATACGCTTTTACAACAAAATCCCAGAAAATATACAAAATTTGTCATACACGAAGTTCAAAAATGTTATTAAACTAAGTTTGTATAAAAAGGGTTATTATAATATTAAGGAATTTATGGATGATAATAACCCCTGGGAAGGGTGATCGCTACCAAGCTAGTTCTAATTTGTTTTGTGTTGTTTATTGTAAGACGCATTATTGTAAGCTCTTTTTTGACAAAAATCGTCCCGCTGGGTTTCTTGCTGGTTCTTCCCAGGACAGAGGTTTTTTTTGTGAACAGTGGTAAATGAAAAAAGTGACTTTCAATAAGTATTGTTATATTATGGCATAAACGTGTACCCGTCTAAATGCCAAACGATAATCTTAGGTAGCTCAAGATTATTATCTAAACTAGATATTCCCACCCTGCCTATCAATTATGTTTAATAATAATGTCATACCATTCTCTACTAATGTAAAGAACCTTGGTCTGTACATCGATGGTTGCTTAACATGGAACAAACATATATACAGGAGATGAGTCGCAAAACTACTGGAACTTTGCGATCTCTATATATCGATTTAAAAACTTTCTTCCTACCAATACCAAGATTTTACTTGTCCAATCACTTATTGTACCGATTAGTGATTATGTCGATGTGTGTTGCTCAGAACTGTCTCAACTTCATCTTAATACATTGGATCGTCTGCTTAACAACTGCATCAGATACATTTATGGTCCTCGTAAATACGACCATGTATCTTCCTTTCGTACACAGCTAAACTGACTGCCTATCCGTCAGCGCAGATGTTAGAAAACTCTGCACCCTTTTCTAAATTTTGAACGATCCACGTGCTCCCGAGTATAATTCTAAATTTCAATACCCTGCTGGCCGTACGAGGACGCTCAAGGTCGCTTAGCGAGCTATGGAGAGGGCTATGCTCGGAGTTTGTCTGCGTGATAGACTCAGAAATGAAGGATATCCGCAGTAAAACCAGAGTGACCGACATAGCCCAACGGATTAGTAAGCTGAAGTGGCAATGGGCCGGCCATATAGCTCGAAGAACCGATAACCGATGGGGAAGAAAGGTTCTCGAGTGGCAGCCTCGTACCGGTAGGCGTAGTGTAGGGCGACCCCCACTAGATGGAGTGACGACCTGGTAAGATATGCAGGAAGTCGATGGATGCAGGTGGCTCAGGACCGTGCTTTGTGGCATTACTTGGGGGAGACCTATGTTCAGCAGTGGACTTGTGAAGGGCTGTAATGATGATGATGATGAATACCTGAGGATTCTCATAATTTTTCTGTCCGTTCCTCGGCCAATCTTAAGTTGCTCACTCCTTTACACCGAACTGGTTATTTATGTAACTCTTTCGCCTTCATATCCATCAGACTCTGAAACGACAACCCTCTTGACATTAAAAAAGCTCCCAACAAATTCGTCTTTAAAAATCAAGTCCGTAAGTATATGATTAAATCGTTGTTCTAATGGTTGACTGGGAGAGAATGCCCTATGGCATTAAGTCCGCCATATGTACTACTTTGTGCATGAAAGCATAAATAAATAAAATAAATAAATGATGGTCGTTATCATTATCTTCACTAATATCAGCTTGTCAAAACACTTGAACTCTATTGTCGGATATAACGGAGGTTTATTTGTAACTCGCTGATATTATCCATTATGCAATTCATAAATCGGAGTCATAAAATCTGCTGAGAGACTGGCCCAAAAATCGATAAAAAAAGAAAACACACACCGCTTTAAGGCTTAATAAACGTCATTTACATCATCAGCTAGTGTCAATTAATAGCATACGACTGAATGTAAATTAAGCGCACTTTCAAATCTGACGGCACAACGTGGCGAAGCTTAACATTTTTGCATTTTCTTGGCGTATCGGGTTTCTCGATGCATCAGACGGTCCGTTATGAATCGAACCGGCTCCCGCATTACGCTGTCCGCTATATTATGACAGCTAAGACGAAATGGTAGCATTGAAAAAAAATAGCTTAGCTTAAATTTTTAACTACAAAACAAATAGTAAATTTATATTTATTTATTTTGGAGAGTATGTGGTGGAGTAACGTCCCAGCATATTATAATGATCATCAATTCAGCCTTTCCACAAGGTCACTTTTGAGCCAGCGTATTATGTCTGCAGCAAAACTGTGTCGGCCTGATCAGGTGTGATCACGCTCTCACGAAATACCAGCAGCAGTGTTTAGCATGGTAAGTGACGAGAAGAACAACTGGACATTTTTACTTATGACAAGACATTCCATCTTAGTCCTCAGAGGATGACAACGCAGTTGCATTTTGTATTTTATTTAGTAAGCGTGCAAATGGGTCAAAAATTCCACTTATGTACCATTACTTGGTTTCATTTATCGACATCGAAACGTTAAGTTGAAGTTGCAATGGAACGACTACATAGCTACATAGCGACTACATAGCAAGAACCGACAACCGAGAGGAAAGAAAGATTATTTAGTGTTAACCTCGCACTAGATTGAGTGACGATCTGGTAAGCTATGCAGGAAGTCGATGGATACAGGTGGCTAAAGACCGTGCCTTGACATTCATTTCTTGGAGGGAGGGGCTACGTACAGAAGTAAACTTGTGATGGGCTGTAAAAATGGTGATGATATAATTTATCGCTTACCTGAACATCTCTCCTTGGTTGTGGCAACCTCATCATAGTTGGCGGAACCGGCGCTGGCATTCTCATCGGTGGGGGCGCCCGTGGCCGCAACGCGGGTGGAGTAGAAGGTACATATGGAGTTGGGTGTGTATAGTGAGCCAGGAGACCATGGATAGGCGAAGGTACGTGCGGAACTAAAGCAGTGTGGTGTGAAGAGGGAGTTTGGGAAACTGGTACTGACGGACGAGGCCCGTGCACGATGGCCACTGTTGGTGTTAGTGGGGGTGCACGACGTTCTCGTGAGCGTTCGACGATGGCAAGGTGTTCGGACGGTCGGATTAGACGTGGCGGGGGCTGGGTCCGCGGCCGCGGCTCCGGAGGTCGCACAGGTTGAATTGCGAGTTGAGCACTGTGTTTTGGACTCATGTGTGCACCATGCTGTGGACTCCTCAGAGCGCCATGCTGTGGACTCATCTGAGCGCCGTGCTGGTTACTCATCTGAGCACCTTGTTGTGTGCTAACATGAGTAACATGCTGTGGACTCATTTGGTTCCCGTGGTGCGGACTTATCTGCGTGCCATAGCTGCTGGGCCGAGGGGGCGGAGGTGGCGGACGCCTTCGCGCCGCCTCCGTTTCGTCCGTCATCGGTGCGCGCCAATCTGTGAACAAAAAAACCATTTTTAGACAATCCTCTGAAAAGTCCATCTCCGAAAAGTCATTCAATATAGACGTGCGTTCTTTTTTTTTATAGGATAAGGTGACAAACGAGCACACAGTCCACCTGATGGTAAGTGGTTGCTGTGGCCCACAGACATCTACATCTATCCTTATCTTCGATTACAAATCAAAATGCAGATGCGTTGTCACCCGTGAGGACTAAGGTGGAATGCCTCGTTTCCAGTAAAACTGGTCTCCAGTTCTCTACACTCATCATACAAAACACAGCAGCATTAAGCTACTATTTTACGTTGGTATTCTGTGAGAGCGTGGTCCTGAGCATCCTCGGTCGAACCGAACCATTCGTGTTACAACCATAAATATAGCTGCAGCATGGCTCTACTACGTATAATGTGTAAACGTATAATGTTATATGTGTAGTATTCACGTAATTTATAAGAAATCATTATACAGACATTAAATTACAAATGAGATTAAAGTATTATAATCGTAGAAAAAAAAATTGCGGTTTCAACAATATTCCCTGTAAATTCATTATTTGAATTCGATTATCCAGCATTATACAACGCGATTGCTATTTCCATAGTCAGCTATGGATTAGTTAGTCTAGTTTTGGCAAACTTTAAATTGTCTGGACCAAGTGTCTGGTACAAGTGACCTCGCCTCACATCAAAAAGCAATAAACTACAAATGTACTAAAATAATTAAAATATTCGCAACATATTTGGCCGTTTATATTCCAACTGCATAAGGTAAAACTTTACCACAATTACTTAAAAAACTTGTACATTCTTCGTAAGTATGATCACATTTCTCAGAATCGGTCTCACCTTAAATGGCTCACTATAAAAAAGGCGTGACTCTAGAATTTTGTCCTTTTCACTATCTTAAATGATCCATCCACTTCTTCTTATCTCAAGGACAAATTTCAATACCTTTCTTAAACGCATAATAGAACTCTGCGTTCCTCGTCTAATTATGAATTAAGTATCCCACTACACTTCACAAATTTCGTCGGAAAATCCTTTACTATTCAGGCTGCGCTTCTCTGGAACTCCTTGCCCAAAGACGTTAGAAAAACACCTAATAAGACGGCTTTTAAAAGATTATTAGGGTGCTTCCTAGTACAAGCAAATCCTTTGCATAAAAGGATACGCCAACCACAATATGCTATGTACATAGGCTGCACTAAAAGTATCGGGAATGGAATATTTCCACTGTTCCTGTCATATTAAAATCTTTTTAATTGAAAAATCCTTGGTTGTAAAAATCGAATACCATTTATTTATTTAAAAAAAAGATTCTCGGTCTTGTCACAAGGTTTTGTCAAACTTGTTTAGTCGTTAAGAAAATGGAATTGTCTCGAGAAAATTCAAGAGCGATGATTTATTATGACTTTCGAAGTGGTTTAACACAAAAACAGTGTGTTGACCGGATGATTTCTGCATTTGGTGATGAAGCCCCATCCAAAACCACAATTTATCGCTGGTTTGCTGAATTTCAACGTGGACGTGTCAAGCTCAGTGATGATCCCCGTCAAGGTCATCCAAAAACTGCAGTCACCCAAGAAAACGTTGATGCTGTACGTAAGCTGATTGAGGAAGATCGACATGTGACATACCGCGAAATTCAGGCAACTTTAGACATTGGCATGAGTCGAATACAAATAATCTTGCATGAACAATTAGGTGTAAAAAAGTTGTTTTCCCGATGGATACCGTATTCGCTCTGTGAAGAGCAAAAAGCGGCTCGCGTTACTTGGTGCGTCAGAACTCTCGAAAGATTCCACGCAGGATCCTCAAATGCTGTATACAACATCGTATCAGGTGAGGAATCCTGGATATACGCGTACGAACCCGAAACAAAAAACCAGTCACGAGTTCCTTCACGGGATGTTGCAAAAAAAATGGTGGCCACGTTTGTCTCCAAAACCGGCCATGTTACGACTATTCCTCTTGAGGGACAAAGAACGGTTATTGCATAATGGTATGCTAGCATTTGTTTGCCACAGGTCGTTTCTGAACTCCGTAAAGAGAACTGCAACCGCCGCATCATCCTCCATCACGACAATGCGAGTTCTCACACCGCACACAGAACAAAAGAGTGTTTAGAGCAAGAAAACATAGAATTACTAGACCATCCGCCGTACATCCCTGACCTAAGCCCTAGTGATTTCTATACTTTCCCTAAAATAAAGAATAAATTGCGTGGACAGAGATTTGCATCACCTGAAGAAGCTGTGGATGCCTACAAAACGGCCATTTTGGAGACTCCAACTTCCGAATGGAATGGTTGCTTCAATGATTGGTTCCATCGTATGGAAAAATGTGTCAAATTTCGCGGAGAATACTTCAAAAAGCAATAAATACATTTTTAAATAGTAATGTTGTGTCACTTCCTTGATTCCCGAAATTTTCAGTCCCGCCCTCGTAGTAGATTAAGATAAAGAATTAGAATTAAGTGAATAGTTTTAATGACATCAAACGTTAGTATGGTCAATGTTATCATTTGGCTACCTTTGGTGTAAGTTTATTATATATCTACTTGTATTTATATGTATTATATGTGCGTGTGTATTTATTTGTATACATTGTGTAGATTTACATATATATTTAAACATATAATATATTTCTTGGTTTTCTCTCAATAACGTTCTTTTATTTTTTTGGCACCTATCACATTATTTCCACACTTCACGTCCCGGATTGACTGGGAGAGAATGCCAAAAGGCTTCAAGTCCGCCCTTCGTAATCCTAAGGTGTACAATCAAGAATAAATAAATAAATACATTATAAGATTTTATACTCTGGGTATCGCTGCTCGCTTCTGTGGATTGCAGCGCGGAGCTCTTAGGTCTATCGCATTGCTTAATTAATTAATTGATTCTTAGAACCATAAATAAATTGAAACCTGTGTTTAAGAACATCATTAAATAAAACATATAAAAAATAAACAAAATTGTTACTAATGAGTCTTTAGATAGCAACAAACACATAGTTTTGTGAATATATTTTGTTATTAAGCACAGTAACTATATTATATACATAGTAACTGACATAACCTTAATGGTCTCTGTATTTCATATTTCCTGATATTTATATTTTTTTATTGGTAATAAAACATCCCTTCAAAAGCAAAATCAAGGTACAGTTTTTACTACGGCTACTACTAAATGTTTAAATATAGAGGTATAGGAATAGGAAAGCTATAGTTGCAGACTTCCCTGTTCACATCTAGACCGGACGCTGGCAATCCGCGTCGAATTGTCTACAAACAAACAATAACGGCTGTGCAACGGTTTGCATCCGGACGAGTTCCGGAATGTGCTCGAACGCAAACGCGATACGTCCGGACTTTCTAGTCAATTAAAATATGTTTAGGCGTTTTTCATTTGATACAGCCACTGTTCCGTTTTTATAATGATTTCCTCTGAATTTATTTGAAGGATTCATCTTTTCATCTCATACCGCAGGATCTTAAAAGCAGCAAAGCTATATAGGAAACATTAAATAGATCTTGGAAGGTGTATATTAACAGTGTAATATTTGTCTGTTTATGACAAGACTTTACATTTTATCCTTCAATACTTACTATTTTCGAGAGTCATTACGAATCGTCTCGCACGCAGACTCGACGACTTCCAGCCTCCCGAACAAGCCGGTTTCCGAAAAGGCTTCAGTACCATAGACCACATACATACCCTTCGGCAAATTGTACAGAAGTCCGAAGAGTACAATCTGCCACTTTGCCTGGCGTATGTGGACTATGAGAAAGCCTTTGACTCCGTCGAAATTTGGGCGGTGCTACAGTCTCTTCAGCGGTGCCTAGTTGACTGTCGGTATATTGAAGTGCTGAAGTGTTTGTACAGTAGGGCTACAATGGCTATCCGAGTACAGAACCAGAGTACGAAACCTATCCAACTGCAGAGAGGTGTAAGACAGGGTGATGTTATATCCCCGAAACTCTTCACCGCTGCGTTGGAAGACGTTTTCAAGCTACTGGACTGGAAAGGATACGGTATTAACATCAATGGCGAGTACATCACTCACCTTCGATTTGCCGACGATATAGTCCTTATGACAGAATCGCTGGAGAACCTTAGCACTATGCTCAATGACCTCAATGGTGTCTTCCAACGGATAGGTCTTAAGATGAACATAGACAAAACAAAGATCATGTTTAATGTCCATGTCACACCTATACCGGTAATTATTGGGAGCACTATGCTTCGAAGTTGTTGACGAGTACGTTTACCTGGGACAAATAGTCCGACTAGGTAAGTCCAACTCCGACCGAGAGGTCAATCGACAGATTCAACTCGGCTGGGCAGCGTTCGGGAAATTACGACACATCTTCTCATCAGGTATACCTCAATCTCTGAAAACTAAAGTGTACAACCAGTGCGTGTTGCCAGTGATGACTTACGGATCTGAGACGTGGTCCTTCACCGCTGGCCGTATGAGGACGCTCAAGGTCGCTCAGCGAGCCATGGAGAGGGCTATGCTCGGAGTTTCACTGCGTGATAGACTCAGAAATGAGGATATCCGCAGTGAAACCAGAGTGACCGACATAGCCAAACGGATTAGTAAGCTGAAGTGGCAATGGGCCGGCCATATAGCTCGAAGAACCGATAACCGATGGGGAAGAAAGGTTCTCGAGTGGCAGCCTCGTACCGGTAGGCGTAGTGTAGGGCGACCCCCCACTAGATGGAGTGACGACCTGGTAAGACATGCAGGAAGTCGACGGATGCAGGTGGCTCAGGACCGTGCTTTGTGGCATTACTTGGGGGAGGCCTATGTTCAGCAGTGGACTTGTGAAGGGCTGTAATGATGATGATGATGATTTACTACTCTTCAGATTATATTTTTACATTACAAAATGGAATGTTGCCAGCGCACGAAAATAAAACAGTAAAGAAATCACGATTTTAACAGGACTTAATAAATCAATAAATAATTAATGTCTCTATTTCCCTCGAAAAAATTATCCGGGCTTAATTC